GTCCCGCGGTACATCGGACCGTACCACGTCGTCGAGGCTCACAACGACGCCTCGACGGTGACCCTTGATCTTCCCGACGAGCTGAAAAGCTGTCGCATTTCACCGGTCTTCCATTCAAGCCTCGTACGGCGATATGAGGCTAACAACGATGAATTGTTCCCTCGTCGTGAGGCCAAGTCATTTTATGACTTCAGAGCGAATGACGATGAGGAGTGGCTCGTCGACGAGATTATTGCACATCGATGGATAAACTTGACGGACCTGGAGTTCCAGGTCCGTTGGGCCCTAGGCGACGTGACATGGGAACCCATGTCGTCCTGCAAGGACCTTGAAGTCCTAGATAGCTATCTAGAGCTTCGGGGGGTGAGCAAGCCACGCGACCTCCCCAGACGCCGCTAGACGTGTCTGTCACGTGCAGACTATGTGACGCGCTGGCCACGGCGCAGTTAAATTTTCATCTTTCCGAGGGCGCATCGCTTCTTGGAAGCTAACCACCATCATCCCCACGAAGATGATGCCCCCCAAAGATGGGATGGACGTTGATCCGTCAACGTCCACAACACGAGCAACGGCCCCGAGACAGGGGGCCGCGGATATTCTCCGTGCTCCAGTAGACCAGGAGCACTGGATGATCGTGGGATGGGAGGACGCCCTCGCCATCGTCCACCCGGACGATTGCGCAACATGCATGGACTACGCCACGCACTTAAGGGCCATGACAGGCACCTGCAAGGTCAAATTGCGGGACGAAGACATCGGCGACGCCGTCGATGCAGCCTGGGGATGGCTCCCAAGGGGCATCGCATGTGACGCGCGAGAAGAGCCCCTCCGGGACATCCACGACCTCAAAAAAGAGGTCAAGGAGTTGGAACGCGTGGTCGAAGACCGCGACGACGCGCTCGAAACCGAGCACGCCAAGATCAAGGAACTGGAGCAGCAGCTGAGCGCAGCCCAGCTCCAGGTTACCCTGGCCCACATTGCCTCAAAAAGGCTGTGACATGACCCGGCCACAGACCCAGTGGCCGGGCCATCATCACTTCGCGCAACGGCGCCTTTGCCGGTGCATGCAACATCGGGGCTAGCGTCCCGATTGTCGGCGCCGACCCCGATGATGGAAGGGGATAGCGTGCCTTCCGACTCTGTGTATGGCGTCCCAGAAGGATGGGAGTCAGACTCGTCCGTCTGGAAGATGTACAACCCGGAAAGGGCACAGCGGCTGGCAGAGCAGCCAAAGAAAAAGCGCAAGAAATTGCATGGCTCCCCCAACACCGTCAATGGGCTAGCCATTGTGAGGGAAAGTGCAATTAGCGCTTACCTAGCGGCGTCATCGTCGCACACTGCCAACGAACCCGCCCTTCAACGGCGGATAGCACAGGTCGAGGCCCAGTACATCGGGCCTGGCATGGCCCTGCCTCCACCGGCGGGGACAGTTCACCCTCCCTACCCAGGGGAGGGGACGCTCATCCCACTCAGAGATCCACCGATCTCTGAGATGGGCCTCCTACCACGGCCGGTAGGGAAAGCCCAACAGCATCGTACTCAATGGTACAATGTCTGCCCGCTCAACGACCCACGCTTCGTCGACCTCCTAGCGCGGGCAAAAGAAACGCCACAGCTCGCGCGTATGTGCGAGATGATCGGCGTATTTAAACGCATCGAGCGCGAACAACGCACTCGCAATCCCAAAAGGGATTGTCTCGTGATAGCGGGTGGTACCCCGCACGATATCGCAGCCATCCTAAAGGGTTGGATACACAACCCTGTGTTGGGTGCATTTATGCTCCTGCACCAAAATCAAGCATAATGTATTCGATTTATTGTATGGTGTTTGGAATTCTTTCTCACATTGTTCTTGTACCATGCATTCACTTCTCTGCTTATTTTCGAAAATTTCCAGTTACTCCCTATCTCTCCATTTCATTCTGTTATTTCTGTTTTCACAGGCGGCTGCACCCAGCGGAGTTTGAAATGACTTCGACGCGCGAGCCCTTGGGCGCTAAAGGGCCGGGTGCACGTATATGCTCTCTGAGACAGAATAATACTCCTCTCCCAGTGACAATAAATTCACTGAGAGAGGCGAGTAGTATCTTTCATATTTACATAGCATGTTGACTGAAAATCATGTAGTGTATTTGATTCTAGGTATTGTATTAATATAACAGTGACAATAAATTCACTGAGAGAGTGTATTTGATTCTAGCTTTCTAAGAACTCTACCGAACCTTCCCTGCCATAACCCTGAGTTGCTAACACCCTGAAGGAATCCCATCTGCCATCCGTGACAATGCAGATGGCACCTTCAACCTAGACGACATGGACGTCTGGATGTGGTTGAAGGCCCTTGCGCCCCGGGTCAAAGGGGTCGTATCACCTCTCAGGGTGAGGCTACTCGACCTATTCAGCTCGACAGACCAATGGTCGAGCCTCGTCAACGCCAGGGAAGTGCTGACGCCTCAGAGCACCACCCTGCGGCTCTCCATCACGGGCCCATTCCCTGTGGAGGGCCGAGCCGGCCCCGACATCCCCCTTGCCGAGATCGCGAGATGGTTGGCCCGCTACGCGGGGGTCACTTGCGAGTAAGTGGTATGCATTGAACACTATGTTCAATGCAGCATCACCGGCGCGCATTCAGTGTTGCCGCCCGTGAGGGCCAACAAAAGGTCCTCGAGACCAGCCATGTGAGGGCTGCGGTGCCACGACCCCTCACTCAGGCTCAGCTCGATCAAGAGCTGGCACGCTTCCGGCCCCCTCCTCAGACTGAGGACCTGGCCATTGAGGCCATGCTCTGCGAGGACGCTGGCCTCATCACCCAAGCGGATACCACCGCTAGTGGTGAGGCCGACCAGCCTCACCCAATCACCACTGATGACGTGGAGGTGCCCCCGGAGGAGTCACGTGCCCCACCGGCCCCGTACGACGATGACATCATTGTATCGGGCACTCTAGAGGACTCCATTATGGATGACCTCTATGAGTTGTAGTTGACCCCTATAGTTGTCTATAGAGGGGGAGGGTGTAAATAACCTATGTATCTACATGTACAATAGTTATTACATAATCCCAGTGGGCCCCTTAGGGACCCACTGTATAGTTTATGCATGGGAACTGGCCAATGGTTCCCATTGCATCTTACTCTTACCTGTCACTACGTAGCATTCAGAATACCACTCTTTGGTCAAGTTCTGTAGTGCCCTTGTGATACAAGGTTGCAGGGCTGAGAGGAGAATTGGAAAAGATCAGGTTCACGGCGGGGGGGGGGGGGGGGGGGGCAGATAAGACGGTGTTTTTCAGGTTTGGGGAGAGGGGAGATGTGGAGATCGCCGGGTGGTACGTGGACGACGGGCTCTTGGCAGCGAACACGTTGACTTCGATGGAGGGGATGATCAGTGACATAAGGGGGAGCTTTGACATACAGGACTTGGGCGATCCGATGCACTTACTCAGCATTCAAATCATCAGAAGGCACGCCCTTGGTACTATTCACATTTCACAACCCTCCTTCATCGCCACCATGGCCAATTGCTTCGATATCACATCCGGATGCGCGGCAAACTCGCCTATGGACCCTAACATCGAGTTACGCGTTTCCACCAGTCCGTTCGACGTAATCGACTCAGCTTACACATCAATCATCGGCAGCATCAACTACTGTGCGGTGGCCACACGACCGGACATCTCCTATGCCGTCAACAAGTGTGCTCAGTATACGTCAAAGCCGAATCTTACTCACTGGGAGGTGGCCAAGCACATCGTGCACTATCTGCTGAATACGAAGGAATATGGGATCATGTACATCAGAGAGGGGGAGGGAGTAAAGGGGTTTGCTCACAATCTAGCAGGGTTCACCGACGCCAACTTCGCTGGAGATAGAGATGACAGGAAGTCGACAACAGGATGGGTGTTTACATTTAACGGTGCGCCCGTGTCCTGGGCATCTAAGAAACAGAACCTCATTAGCAGGTCCTCGATGGAATCAGAAGTGGTGGCGGGATCGTTCGCGACGGTAGAGGGAATTTGGCTCATACGGTTGGGAAAGGACTTCAAACACATCTTCACCCCCATTCCTCTCTTCACCGACAATCAGTCTGCTATCACATTCTCCAATGACAGCGTCAGTAACAACCGTACCAAACACATCGATATCCATTACCACTACACGAAAGAACAAGTCACGGCGGGCAACATCGCTCTACGCTACGTCAAAACCATCGAGAATCCCGCCGACATACTGACAAAACCACTCGCACCGTGCAAGCACCTTCATACCCTAGAACTTCTAGGGATATGTCGGGCTTGAGGGGGAGTGTCGTGAGGAAAGACCTATCAGCTACGGACTCCAGTTTCACTCGGTTCATTTCATGACTTCATGCACACAAATAACAACTCGTAATGTCTATTACAATGATTTCCATTTACGATTGCCCTAACAATCTCTCTCTCTAACTATCTAATCTCACCCCGAGCACTGTGAGATGCACACGCACACCTGAGCCATCGAGACATGAGACGACACCACAGACACACACCAATACTCACCGGGTCGAGTCAAGACCAACACATTACTCCTGAGCACCTAGATCCGTATCACGAGTCGAGTCGAGGCACGAGCACAGTTGACGAGCCGAGTACCAGGATGGAACGAGCCGATCCCACATTGCGATCAAGGCACATGACATATATTCTCCATTACCCTTGAGCTGCACACATTATTCCTATCCAGTACCTCCTACCATCCAGCCTCATCCCTCGAGCCACCACACTAGGACATTCTATTCTGCCTCATGTCCAGGCCAGACCGAACGAGTGATCCGCAGCACGGATGTACAGACAAGATGGAAGGATGAAGGTCTACAAAACAAATAATGAAAAAAAGACATCGAACGCCTATTATTTATATAGACCATTAAAAATAATAGAAGATTCAAAGGAGGTCTGTGACATTGTCAAATATATGCTTAAGCATATACTCAGAAGTACTACAAACCCTCTAACTCTTTGATTAACCAGACCAGGGTTCGAACCTGGGGCCCCATTAGTATATAGGGTGCTTTACCAACTAAGCTATTTGGTCTATTATGTTTTACAACTTGGTGAGGTAATCTATGAGTCATAAGATAGTGTACAAGCTTTGTTTAAAAGCTTAGGTTCTACAGTTTTGATATTTATCATCAAGAATCTTAATAGAAACATTGCTAAATATTATGATTTTGACTCTTCATATAGAATGACTTATATAACCAATACATTCACTTTCATGAGTAGTAATTATACTTTATTCTATCTCTAACATCATAAGATCTGATTTAAATACTTTTCATATATCAGTTACCATGGAATATGATGATAATTCCAGTACTTGAATTGGTATTTAGAAACAAACATGTATGATACATAATTCATCAATATAATAGGATTTAAATTCAACTTCCCATTTAAAGTGGAGAGTGGATTCAGATTCCATGATAATAATACCATCTTATGTCTTTATGCTCTATGGGTCACTTGGAAATTCAGCTTATATGCTGTTCCAACTTTTTATATCAAGGGATGGACAAGGTTCTATGACTCACAAATGTAGAGGTCACAATACCTGATCTTCTAGGACTATTGGTGGGCACCTATCTTGAAGAATATCTAACATTGATCTCTCATTGTTGGAATCTAATCTATTCTGCTTGCATATCTCATCATCAATCTCAAATATTGATCGAGTATCAATATTTCCTTTCTCATCAAGAGTATCAAATGTTGAGATCTCAGCTAGTTTTGATTGCTTATCTGGTTTTGATCTAGTTTTACTCATTTGAAGAGACTTATTTACCAAAGTATCCTTTGTACGATTCTTATCTTGTTGTTTTGTTAGAAGGTTTATTTGATTCTTATCATTGATTACCTGATATGATACCAGATAATTATGTCTAAGATATGCTGTTGAAATGGATACTTTTTTTCCATCCATATATGCATCCATATCTGCTAACTCATAGTAATTCCCTTCTGAATCATGTATTCTACAACTTGGTGTTATTCTTTTGATATCTCTATCATGATGTGATTTATCTGGTTGTTCTGTCAGCAAATTTATTTGATTATTGTCATTGACCTCATATGATACTAGATCATCCTCTTCATCATATGCTATTAAAGGAGATATTTCTTCTCCATCCATAAATACATCCATGTCTGCTAACTTAAAGTAATTATCTGAATTATATACCCTACAATTTTCTGTGATATTTTTGATATCAAATTTATGTTTCCCCAATTGATTTCTTTCTCATCAAGAGTATCAAATATTGAGATCTCATCAGGAGTAGATTGCTTTGGTTTCTTATCTGGTTTTGATCTAGTTTTACTCCTTTGAAGAGACTTATTTACCAAAGTATCCTTTGTACGATTCTTATCTTGTTTTGTCAGGAGGTTTAGTTGATTATTATCATTGACCTCACATGATACCAGATATCTACATGCATAATATGCTGTTAAAATGGATACTTTTTTTCCATCCACATATGCATCCATGTCTGCTAACTCATAGTAATTCCCTTTTGAATCATGTATTCTACAACTTGCTGTTATTCTTTTGATATATCTAGCACGATCCAATTTATCTGGTTTTGCTGTTAGCAAATTTATTTGATTATTATCATTGACCTCATATGATACTAGATCATCCAGTTCATCATGGGCTGTTAAAGGGGATATTTCTTCGCCATCCATAAATACATCCCTGTCTGCTCACTCAAAGTAATTATCTGCTGGATTATATACCCTACAATTTTCTGTGATATTTTTGATATCAAATTTAATGTTTCTACTGCTTATTTCTTCTTGAATAAGCTGAGATTCCTTTTGAGTGAGAACCGGTGTTAGATTTGTTGGTTCTGGTTTGTTGTGTTGTTTTGTCATAAAATTTATTTGATTATCTACCATCTCATACAATACCAGGTCTTTCTTTTTACGGTACACTGTAGACAACTTGCGAGGTTTTTCATCTATAAAGACATCCATATCTTCTAGACTATAGCAATTATCTAGTGAATCATAAAACATACAACATCCAGCAATCTTTCTAATTCGCAATCCTACATGCTTATGATTTTTGATCTGCTCTCTTAATTCTATAATCTCTCTATGTTGTTCCTTAGATATCTGCTTGAGATTTGATATTATCTCATCTTTTTCTTCTATCCATTCTGTGATTCTGTCAATCCTTTTAGAGAGCTTGACAATCTGGGCTTCCATGACTACTAGACCCAATTTACAATTTCACAGAATCAATTTTCAATACTGACTCATATTAGACACTAATCTGGTTTTATCATTAAATTGTCAACTAGGTCCTTGTCATTGCTAGCACTGTTGTTTAAATTACATATCATCACAAAGACTGTTATTATAATTGTGCTTGCTAACTACAAAGTTTGGTTTGATTGATTTATCTCCATCTGTTAGTGTATATGTCATCACTTATTGTGGAAGGTAATCTAGACCAGTAGTTGAGAATATAATTCCAGTAAAAGTCTATATTCCCTTTATGTTGTTTATGGTTTTATTTAGAGTTGAATAGTGAATGCAATATAAAATTGAAGTATATAACTGACCTC